AGCATCAAGAACTAAAATCACTTAACAATTTATCACTTAAGATAAATACAACATGAGGATCATTCTACCCAACTTAAGAGACCATTTTATGAACTTTGAGAGAGAAAGAGACCAAAAGAGCCCCACGTACCTACCCCTTTAGACTTCCTTTGCTCATCAAGTTTTGGTAATCTATTCTCCCATGGTGTGCTAGTTTCTCCTTGAAGATCAGGATCAACTCCATATTCAAGGTACTTATTTTGTTGAAGTTTAGTTTCCAGTAAAACCTATTTCCCCCATCAATAGATTGCTGTAAATTTTATTTTATGGAAGTTTTTCCATCATATTATCCTTAGTTTCCATAGTCCTTCATGTTAGAATTGAATCATATACACCATGCCTTGATTATGTGTAGTCTAGTTTGAATCCTCATCATCTACACGTCGATTTGTCTAGTTTTTCATTACCTGAATTTTCTGAGTATTCAAGTGAGTTTAAATATTAGATTAGTGAACTTACTTTCACATTTTAAGATTAAAAAATATAAAGTTCGTGATAGCTGTGTTTGTTGAGAAATTGCTTTGTATTCCTAAGCTCCATGAAAAGTAATATGCTGATTGTCTTAGTCCTTTGAAACCTATTAAAGTGGTATAAAATTGATTATAAGCTTCCAGATTCCATAGTGAAGTGATCTCCTTGAGTATTAAAACCATCCATGCTCTCATTTATGGGACAAAATTAAGTCCTTAAAATGTCCATCTTGTGATCCGGGTACAAAGGGTTTGAAATTTTGGTTTTGCCCATACTAGTTTGGCACTCTACTCATTGTTGTTATCGTTGTGAATTATTTGAGTTTGTATTGAAGTTCTTTATGTTATATATTTGGTTGTGAAAAGAGGACTACCGCATTCCATGTAAATTGTCATTGAAAAGTGACAATTTGAATGTTTTGGGTGTGAAGTGCTTAAGATCTTGTAATTAGGACTTCATAGAGTTGTAATCTTCTTTTTATTGTTGATATTAGAGCTAAGTGGTGTTCATTTTATTGGTTAAAGTGGATGTAATTGTAATATTGCATTTGCATGTGCGCAAGTTCATTGTGAAAATTTCAACTTGTGTCCATTTTTGCCTTTGCCTTTATAGCACCCAAAACTATATACCAAAACAGTTCCACTGTTATGACAGACGGTGAAAACAATAAATGACTTTTAACTTGGGTGTGGTGGGGATAAGACAGAGGGTTTCAAGGAGGTAAATAAAGGAAAGGCCAAAAGGTCAAAAGTAACGGAACATTAAAACTTATGACAGGCTCTCTAAGTTAGTGGTGCTTAAGACTTTGACTTTTAGAATGGAAGGTCCAAAATTTAGATACGCTCTGTAGGATCATTCTTCATATTCTTATATGAGTCATCCGACTCATCTATTCTTATGTGTCCCTTTAATCATCAAACACTCATCTATACTATGGACGTTACAAAATGGTGCCACTGCTAAAGAAAGCCAAAACGAATGGTAGAGAAATTTTTTTAAAAATACCAACTTTTATTTTACAGAAAAAGAAAAATTCCAGATTGATAATCATCCTAAAAATTGAGTTAACCAACTCTAAAATTTTATATCTAAAATCCAACTATGGATTTTTAACAGTGCGTATACAAAAATAGGTGAATCGGCTGATTCGCCAAATACTCTCTCTTTTCATATATTGTATATTCAAAGCCTCCTTAAATCTCTCAATCTTGTTATTGGGATAGATGTGCTTTATTATACGAGAGATAGTACATTGGTATCTCCAAATCTATATAGGTGCCCTGCATATTCTTTAGGATCCCCTTTTATTCTGGCAACATATCTCCACTCTTTAAATGTCACTTAATAGTATAATAATAATATAGATAACGAAAAAAGCCCCCAAAAACCTATAGATAGAATTACTGTTTTAAAAAAATGCCGATCCAAATCAAAACTAGCTAATCCGAATCCAGAACCACTCACCTCGCTCCAGTTCCAACGAAATATCGAGAACCGGCTAATTCTCTTATGAATCGGTTGGTTCCCCCCACTTCTCTGACAGAATTGGCCAGTTCTATCAGATAACATGGTCTCCTCACCCAATTCAACAAAAAATTTTATTTATTCACTTATGTTTTTAATTTTCAGATTTTTTTATGCGTTTATTCTCGTCTCTAGCTCACGCATGTCTCGCCATCATAGTTAGCAAGTCAGGGATTATCAATAAATCGGCTCACCATGAAATCGAAAACTAATCTTTTTTATGTAAAAACGTCGGATAAAAAAATTAGGTAAAAAATATGGATCAACAAAAATACTTCTTGTAAAGAGATCGTGAATATATCGGACCAGACTAAAAAAATCAGATATAATAAAATATTAGAAATTTTGAAACTCTAAATATATATATTACTCAGTATAGAAAAAATTAATAGTAGCAAGGAGTAATGCTTTTACTATATATATATATATATATATATATATATATCACTCACTATAAAA